TAATATAAAAAAGTATGAAAAGTAGTAATTTTACACGTAATTGTGGCCTTACTATAACAAGGGTGTGTTTTCTTACTCAACCTTCTCAGGGGAAACTGCTTTAGAAATAAATAATAGTGTTTAATTAATTTATTTCGAGTTTAATTTGTTTGAGTTTAAAATTTTTTTTAATCGCAATTTTTTTATGATACCAAGTGCAGGGACGGACAAGTCGTGCGCCCGGTGGTAAGCGACACGGCTCAGAGCTTTTAATCGCAAAGATCTGAGGGGCACTGTCAATGCGCCCGTCGCTTTGGCACAAAATTTGACAAGTTCTGTGTGCCTGGAATTTCATCAGCATCCTTACCCTTGAAACTGGACCGCAGTAATGCTCACATTACTGCTTAGCAGTAGAAATATGTAAAGTGGCATTTCTCTAGACCAGGGGTTCCCAAACTTATTTTGTCTACTGACCACTTTAAGAATAAATTCTTTTTTAGCGCCCCCATTTTTTCACCTGCTAAAAACCACTATAACTTCAAATTAAATTCATTATTGTGAGATATATTAGCGGAGATTAAACATTCATTCTAAACGAGACTTTTACTCATCGAGTATATAACCAGAAATAGCTGCGAAATGTCATTTAATTTGTTTGAAAACTATTCTGCCAAATCATTACTGTGACAACTGCGCTCCGATTGGCCAGGCTGAATTTGAAACAATTGACGGGTGGCGTCAATCGGTGTCAACTGTTTCACTTCTTAACTTGAGCTTTGCTATAATGAACGAAAATTGCAAAATTGCATATTTAATTACCGATGAAATTTGATTCCGTTTGATTTGTAATTAGATGTTTTGCTGTTTTTCCCACACCACCGAATAGAAACAGCACGGCATTGTTAGAGATATTATCTTTATTACAATAAATACAGAATATTTTTTGGAATATAAGGAAGATGTACACACAGGTCAGTAGTTGGCCTGTCTATATTTCAGTGCAAACGGGAGTTGATATTTATAAGAGCTGTATCGCTAATGTGTTACCGGGAATATATGGCCCTTATTTCGTCTCTATTTCTGGTTATATACTCGATGCTTTTACTATAACCAGCAAGAGTTAACTTGAGACCTGAGCGCAGTAAGTAGTACACAACGGCGCTCATGTCTCAAGTTAATGCTTACGGACTACACCTGCCAATGAGAATGATTATTGAAACGCAACTTTATAGTATTCAGACAGAGTATCTTTAATTCAAAATTAAACAAACATAATCGATTCTAATATAAAAACTAATGTGAAGGATGAATCTGATACTATTTAATAAGTTTGTTGATATCAAGAACAGCCTCAAGTCACCAATTTCGGTAATATGCAAACGATTTTTCTTTTTAGTAAGTAGCGTTGTCACAGCATTAAAACCACGTTCACACAAATATGACGATGGGAATGCTATCAAGAATCGTTAAACGATTGACCACAATCCAAGGTACAATTGCGGGATCGGTTTTTGTAGCCAAAATTCTTGGTAGCCATTTTTGAACTTGGTTTTTATTTCGTCGTTCGTTGTCAATTCTATAAGTTCTTCTTCCAGCTGAGGTGATATTGCTGTGTTGACATTTGAAAACGCATCCAACACCCAGTCTGGTATTTCCAAGTTCGAAATGTCCTGGTATCGTTCGGTGAAGTCAATGTGGAGGTTTTCCAAATGTTGACAGTAGGCAAACAAGTCGTCGTTTCTACAGGATACTGACAAATTCAGAAAATTGTGAAACTCACGTCTGCCCATATTCTTTTTGTGTAGAAGCAGTTTGGCTGTGAAAGCAGCAACGACATTTTTTCTTTTAATTAAATTTAGTTCATCGCCTTGCAGTTGGAGATTTATGTCGTTGAACAATTTATACGGGTCTGTCATATAATCTACATCATTCTTTGATATAATAAGCTTGTTGCGCAATTCTGTTTCTTCAGTTTCCAAGAACTCTATCACAGAGTCAAACAAGTTGTAAAACCGAGTCAGACAATTGCCTCTTGATAGCCAACGAACTTCAGTATGAAACAACAAACGTTTGAAATCTTCGTCATTAGTAACACAAAGCTAATGAAATAATTTTTTTCAACACTTTTCAATTCCTTTCGCATAAACCCATTAAAGGGTTTTTGAAAGGAAAATCTAAATGTACATATGTGTTTAATTGTAAATTGAATAATAAATTTAAAAAAAATTCTATCATTCAAAGAGTTGTTGTGGATTTTATTGACTGCTTTGATGACATATTGCAGTGATTGAAATAGTCGTTCACTTAAATTTCTAGCAACCAAATGTTGTCTATGAATAACGCAATGTATAGCAAGGACATTTGGAATTTTATTTAAGTTTGTTTTTAAGTTTAAGTACGCTATGAAGCCTTTATGGCACCCTGTCATAGCCGGAGCGCCATCCGTACCAACTGATATAATATTTTTCAAGGGAATCTCTTTCTCATCACAAAACTTTTCCAATGTATTGAATATGGTTTCGCCGTTTGTATCGGTCTCTAAATTTCTAGCAAACAATTGTCCTTCACATATTTTCTCATCTTTAATAAACCTCACGTAAGACAGCAACAATGCTTCTAGTTGGTAAAGTGGACTCACCGAGCTGAATTGAGAATTGACTAGTCCTCAGATGATTGCACAATGAATCTTCAATGTTTTCAGCCATTTCATCAATTCGTCTTTGCACAAAATTATTACTCAAAGGAATTTTTCGGATAATATCTGCGGCCGGTTTATGAAGCACGGTAGTTATTACTTCTTTTATTGCTGACAAAATTAACTCTACTCCGATGTTGTGTGGTTTGCCTTTTTGAACAATTAACAAAGAGATATTCTACGAAGCTCGAAGTCCGTCGTCATCTTGCTTAGCAGCCGCCGAAACGAGTTTTGCTACACTTCGCTGAGTAGCATTATGCTTCTTCTCTATGTCTTTAAAATATGCTACATTCTTGTCTTTCTTATCTGGATGCATTTTATGCAAAGTCAAAGTCAAAGATTATTTATTCCATAGGTAAAATCAATTTACACTTGAAAAGTCACATTTAAGCTACTGCTCGTTCACTACGCTGACCTTCCTGAAAAGAACGAGCAAGAAACTCTAGGGATTGCTCTTTTCAAATAAACTTAAATGTTATGGAATACACTTTGAATCAAATTTGTGTGGATTCTGGAGCCAATTCAATAAAACAGGACAGATATAATGAACTATAAGGAGAGAAATATCGAACCGAGTTAGTTTGAGTAATCTCTTAATTAATATTAGTTGATGTTCACAAGTTGTAGTCGAGAGTCGAGAGCTCAGTCGGTGTCTAAGAGTCTTCCTAGATGAAATTACAAATCTCGCCCTAAGCCTATAAACAATTCCCCCATTTTTTTCTGGGTCTCTTACTACCCCCCTTTAGGCCTGCAGCGCCCACAAGGGGGCGTTATCGCCCACTTTGTGAAAGGCTGCTCTAGACGAACTCTTTCACAAGGAGCTCTACTGCTATTAAAAAAAACGTATTGAGAGATTACGGAAATCCTTAAAATGACACAAAGTTGGGAGCCGCAGTGTTACATTGCTAGGGCGTTCGCATTGGACAGCGTGTCATCCTTTTTTATTTAAAAATGCCAGCTTTTATACTACCGGTTTGGCTAGCTAATTCAGTGTTTTCCTTTGTTCATAAATTTGTCATATCAGGGTTATAGACGTAAATAATTACGATGTCCATTTCCAAAATATATTTCATTTCTTTGGTGTAATAAAACAAAATGTGATCATATTTTGGTGAAATTACAAGCACATGGTACTTGTCAAAGACGAGCGCAATGGCAGTTCCCCTCAGAGCTTTGCAATTTAAAATTCTAAGTGGCTCTGCAACTGTTATGTATAGACGTGTCGTTTACCACCAGGTGCACGACTTGATCGTCCCAAAAAAAATAAGTCAAAAGTGCTTTTGTCACTTATAGAACTTACAAACTAATTATAATTCTCTCTCCTGAAAAGTTGCCATTTTTAGACGTGACCTTGTTACACCAAGGCTTTGACTTCAAGAGTTTTTTTTCCTGTACACAATTAAAATATTAATAGTTTTTTAAATACGTTTTCGATTATTCGCTCAGCTCTACTGTAAATAAATTAGGGTTCTAGTAATTTTTTTAATGTGGTGTACGGTGTACTGTTGTAAATAACCAGACTATAAAATAATACCTCGTACTATAAATAAAAATAAATAAATAACGCACACACTCAACATAGCCCCGCACTAGGGAAACCCTGTGTCGCGGGTGCCATGGACACACACATAGACAACCACAAATTACACCCAAACTCACGAGAGAAATAAATGTAAGCCACACAAACATTTCTCCCGGCCCGGGAATCGAACCTGGGACCTCTGCGTGGCAGTCCGGCATGGTAACCGTTCCATAGTAGTTCCGTAGGCCACGGAGGCAGTTTATAACACAATAATATGTAACATTATAAATTTGACATTTATTTATAATCGTGTAAATATCTTATTAGATATAAAGAATAATAATGATTTTATTTTTTTGCAGAGGCTTAAGTGCAGTGTGATATAATACTATACAATACAAAAACTACGGTTTCGTAAAAACGAAGTCTCTTTCCAATAAAATAGCGAAAACGGTAAAACGTAAAAATAAACGATTTTTATAAAATACAAGCTGATGGCTGACATATGTTTTAAGTTACAGAAAATGAAGTTGACCTTTTGAAAACATCGTTATTTAAAAAGGTATAGAAATATACAGACAGTATAGTTGACAATATAGTTAGTTGATTGAAAATGTGCACCATGTATTATAGTGATCACACCATATAATGTTTATGAGATCATAAAACAGTATACATTTTCGGTAGTTTAAAAAAATCCTGTGACTTATATTTCTTTTTTTAAGATGGACAAATGGGAAAAAATCCTAATCTTACCTTTACGAAATCTCCAAAATGTCCAGGAAACCGGAAAATAATCCCTTCACAATTGATCCTTGCTCGCACGAAAGACACAAAAAAAAACAAAAAAAAAACTCTGTTCTAAATTCAAACAGCGCGCATAACAGCAGAATTGTGTCAGTGGCGTGTCGCGGCGGCCGGCCTAGGGCGCAGGCGCGTGGCTAGAATTCCTAACTACTGGAGCCAAAAAATATTTTGAAATATTTTTAGAGCGGTAGTGTCGACCCGGTGATGGCGGGATTTTGAATGGCGCGAGCGCGCTGTGCTCTGAGACTGTCGGAGGCGGCAGGACATCGACTTTATAAATTGACTTTGTCCATCAAGTAACTGTACTTATTCGGGCGGTTCGGTGTTATATTAGATCGAGGTATGTTCGCTAATTTATTACCTAACAACAGATTTTCGTGAATAGCAAAAAAACGGAAACAAACTCATTGACAGGCGTCTTCACAATGTCACGAATTCATTTAAGAAACAATGTATGTACTCTCATATAGCAAAAACTTCTGTTCATTTTTTGAATTGTGAAACTAAAATTTTATACAACTTCTGAGTATAAATTATGTGTGACAAAATCCACAGGAATGATCAGGAATGATATTTGTAAGCAAATGTTATAAATGATAATGCAACCTTTATAAAAGTAATAAGTCACTTTTTTGTTCAACCACGGTATCATAAAAAAAATGGCAACTACATTACAGAGAACGGCTTAAAGATTCTACGAACGAAATTATTCGTTAACTTTTTTATGCATAAATAGAATTATAAATTTCATACACCTGTGTAGGGGAGAAGGAGGCACATAAACAGGGGCAGCTTAGAACTAATGCGTTTACGCAGTCAGTTTAAATAAAAATGTACTAGGAATTATTATTTTAATAAGGTACCAGCGAGCCCCACACTTGTCAGTGGCTACGGTCATTGTGTGCCCGCCCAAAATAGAATGAGAGGTCATATTTAATTAAGTAAATTTTCTCAAAAATTGTTCTAAGTACATACATTACTGAAAGAATATAGATAATGGTGAGTTTGAACTTTGCTAAAATATGAAACCTTTAATATGTAACATAGTCTTTTGATTTGGTAGAATATTACTTGCTTGGTTTCAGACGGATGTTAGACGGAGAAACATACATTAGTTAATTATGTTACGATTACAACTTGCTTCCATTCCGTTCCGCGGCAATATAAATTGAGCCCTGGTCCTCCGTACCCAAGTTATAAATTTGATGATTTTTTTTTAATAATGGGTATTTTCTTTCGGTTTCGTAATTTAAATTAAAAATTTTTTTTTTTTTAATTTAAAAACAAAAAGATAACGCCATAAGATTTGCAGTAATTCGTCCCATTTGGGATTCAAGATTATAACGTAACATTTCAGTGCTTAAATAGAACTGGAAACGGTAGCTACATATTCATGCAAATATTTTTATTTGAAAACCTACTCTCACTTCAAAAATCGGTGTAGTGTGTTTTTATTCTTTAACGTAGTCTGTCTAGAATCGAATTTTGTTGTTGCTTTGATCTATTCTTATTATGTGTATAATTATATTATAATACTAATTACATTACACAACATTAAATCCTCTTTACAGTCATAACTTACACCTACAGCTGTAATTATATTCACATTTGCTCATGCACTTATATGTCAAGCAGGTTATTTTAAATGCACTATTTACACTTTACTATGTATATTATTATTGTCAATGTATAACTTTACTCAAAGTCGTTATATTTTTGCTTTCTAGTAACTTAATCCCTCTCGTTGGTTCTGACTGAAAACCAGCGCCTTAGGAAACTTTGGCATATGCTGAGTCAGCGCCGTTTCACTGCTATGACAATCATGTTTTGTTTTTTCTTTTATGCTAAATCTGTATTTGTGTTATATCAGTGAATAAAGTGTTTATCTATCTATCTATCTATCTACCAGGTTGTAACATACTAGATACTCTTTCATACTAATTCGGTGGGTGCCCTTTGTTTTTATTATAACGACATTGCGAAATGTTTTTTAGATGGTATTTATTAATTCTGTTTGTTTTTCACTTAGATATACATCGAAAACAAATAATAAGTTTACTATAGATTAAGAATTAATCAACGCAAGCGGAAGCCTGCACCTGAAGGTCAGTAGACAACTTTCGATGTTCGTCCTATCATTCGTTTTGGTATGTGTGTGATATTTTTAAATAAACATTTAGGTAGTATGAAACCATATTTGTACCTTGTCAGACGAAAAATTACGCAAGTCTAGTAGCAGTAGAGCTCCTTGTGAGTTTGTCCAGGGAAATACTGCCACTGGACCTGTTTCTGCCGCCAAGCAGTAGTGTGAGTGGTAATGCGTTCCGATTTTGTTAATGGGTAATTATTATAAAATTAATAAAAAACAAAGCTATAAAACGAACTTAATTATGATCAAGCAAGATTTTATATATTATATATAAAATTTTCGAAATTTCTAGCAACACGCGGGACTCGAACCCGCTTTAATCTGAAAAAAATGTACCCTGTACTTTTATTGCATCGATCGATAGTGTTAATTATAAGAATAAAATCTCTGTCACAAAATTGGTTAATAAAATGAAAAAAAAACATGAAATCTTAACGTATTTTAATAAAATGAAAAAAATGGTAAAGTAACTAATTAGTTGCTCGAAATGAGCTCCATTTTCTTGGATACACCAATTTATTCTTTTAACGAATTCATTTTGAGTAACTTTTAATAACGTGTTGTGATGAATTGTAACTCCAGATTTCATGGTTTGTAAGAGAGATTTCATCCTCATAATTGACCCTATCGATTGATTTAATAAAAGTACAGGGTGCATTTTTGTAAAGATTTTAGCGGGTTCGATACGCGCGTATGGCTAGCAATTTTCGAAAATCTTTGAATGCAGTATTATTTCTTTTTAAAAATAAAGGAATGTTTCCTTTAAGTAAAAATCTCTATCTCCAGTATTTAACGTACTTTCCTTCCAAGTGGCATTACAAATTTCCACCCTGTATATATGTATATATATATAATCGTTTCCTAAGTTTAACATTTACATTAAAAATCTTTTGAAGACTATGTTAGATAAAGATGTATGGAAAGGCGACATGGCTCTGGGTTCCACACATATTATATTCAAAGTGTATTTTCATAGCATTTAAGTTTATTTGTAAAGAGCAATCTCTAGAGTTTCTTACTTGTTCTCAGAAAAGTCAGCTCACCGAATGAGTAGTAGCTTAATTACTTATCTCAGTACAGAGTACTAAAAAAAGTGACCTCAAAAGTACGTGACATTACGTCTATTTGCTAAGTTTTATTGAAATATCCCCTAGTTCGCCACTATACAGGACTTGCCACTGGAGATAATAAAAATCGGTTCTCACTACTCAAAGTATATTGAGGGAAAAACGCCTTGAATTGGAGAAATAGCAAAATCAACCATTAAAATAATTGCTCCTAAATTAAAGTTTAGGCGCTATTTACAAAAATGAATCTTCATGCGTGAACAGCCACCCTTAGAGGTGGATGATTTTCTTCAAAATGAAATGGGACCACTATGGAAGTACCCCCTTTCCAAAAAAAAGAATCATGAAAATTGTATCACAAATACCGGAGTTATCGCGTAACATACGAGTACATACAAAAAAAGGACATACAGTCGAATTGAGAACCTCCTCCTTTTTTTTAGTCGGTTAAAAAATGACGTTTTGAAATAGTGTACATTTATTTTACCTATGGAATAAATTAGGTTTGACATTGACTTTGAATTACGAAGTAAACTCAAGGTTTAAATACGAAAAACTTGCTTAGCCCGCCATTTTTGCTTAATCAAAACTAAACCTGAACTTTAAAATACTTATGAACTATATACGGATTTCGGCAAAACTTTTTCGGAAAAATACGAAAATTCAAAAACATAGTAGTAGTACAAAAAATATTAAACACAGTAATCAGTCCAAAGATCGTTTATCGTTCGATCGTTTATATCGCTCAACAAAAAATGACAAGAAAAATTCGGTAGCCGAAGTTCGAAATACTACGAGATAAGTGCTATTAAAATTAATTATAATGATATATTGTCCTGCGAAAGTCTACTCGACTGTCAACATGTTATACAGACAAGTATTTGTGTTGTAAGAAATATGGCTCAGTCAGATGCGAAGATATCTCAAATAATATGTGTTATGTATACAGGGTGTAGTCGTTAAATGTGCTCTATCGAATATTATGTAAATATAAGACATCAGACACCAAACATCAAAAACCATTAAAATGATATCGAAAGTACGTACTTTTTAAAAATAAAACTAGAAATATCCAAAATTTTAAAGTTAAGCACTCCCATACATTTAATATGACATTTGTAGAGAGGCTTTAGTTGACCTACTTTAAGTGGTAACAATGAGGTTACATATCAAAACTGCTACAAATAAAGTAATGAAACTATACCTTTAAAAAAAATTGTATGCAAAGCAGCTGTTCGAAACAAAAGTTTCTCTATATACGAATTTCGTATTAAATGTATGGAAGCGTGTAATGATAAAATTTTGAATATTTCTAGTTTTATTTTAAAAAGTTATCGATGTCGTTTTGCTCATTAGGTACTATCGATATCAACGTACTTTCGATATCTGTTTAAAGGTTTTTGATATCTCTTTTATTCGCGAAATAATCGCCGGGGCGCACTTAACGATTACACCCCGTATACATAATTGGCTAAGATGGAGCTGGAACGCGTGAAGCACATGGTCAAACTTGGCTGGTTTTGGATTTTTGTTATTTTTAGTCACCCTTGGTGTAATGAACAAAAATGACAACTTCTTAGACGAGAGGTTTGATTGATTGTTCTTTGTGTTTGTATTCCAATTGTAGGCTAATTGGACCGTCTCCATTTAACACATTTAACATATTTTATTAAAAATTAATGATAATCACCTAAACAAACATCCATTTATAATGAATTACAATTAAGGACAATAATACATTAAGCTGATGTGATTCCAATATGTAATTATCAGAGATAGGCGTATTTAGGGTATATTTACTTAAACTCAACGAAGTAGACGCAAGCGTCGCTAATACCTCCCTCTGAAATCCAGGAATTATTATATTGTATTTTGTTCTACATTTTTTACTTGTATCTAGCAATTACTGTACAAGTTTGAAAGGTAAGACACGCCTATAGACATTTGCGATACTAACGCAAATGCGTTACCTGCCATGGAACGTAAGCACATATCGGTATAGGCCGAGTATATTACGTTATCTTTAAAGAAGTAATATACAATAGAGTGGATAATATCCCTCTGAAACCCCTGAATTATTGTTTTCTTATTTATTCTGTTTTTGATATGCGACTAGTAATTACTTTTGGAATTGTAATCAAAAATAATTCCGATTAGTTTTTCTTTTGTTTCGGTAACAATGATACGTCTGATATTAGGTACGCCAAAAACTTATTGCATATGCATCAGGCGTTTGTATTAAGAGTAAATACGCGCTCTAAAAATTGTCGAGACCCGACGATTTTTTGGCATTTTCGAGACTCGAAACTGACTGTTTTTTGTTCTGGTGACATGGACATGACAGCATCGTAGAGTGGTGCTTAATATAGCCTCCTAAGTCTCCGTGTATATCACAATGTGCATAATATACAGAAATTTCTGAAATAGTCTTGAAAATATCGCTTTTCTCGGAACGCGGAAATGTAGCGGGACTGAAAGGAGGACGAGAAATTACCTTTTTTCATATATCTATGGGGATCAGTGAAGTGAGATTCCAACCACACGTCAAATTATGAAGCGGCGTCACAGATTAGCGTAGAAAATGTGTTTGCGGCTTTACGGACATGTCACACTACCCCAGAAGCCTACTAAACAGTCTTTGTTGGCGCAGATGGGCGGCCTTTGCGTAATCGTTACTATATAGGCAGTGGCATACACAAAAATTCGTTAAGGAAGAAAGGGCGTAAAAGCCATATTTTATCAAAAAATTGATGCAGTTATATCCAGTTTTCAATACAATTCAATTCAAGTATTCTTTATTGCACTGGGACTGGGCAAATACATAAAAAGACACATGTACAACAGGCGCCGTTATTACTAGTCTCTTCCCGACAATATTCCGGTTACAGAAAAATTATAATTACTTGAGGGCGCAACAGAATACACATGCATATTTACATACATATTTAATACACACGCATTTATTATTTAAGTATTAAGTAATATTATTTAAGTATTTGAACAAGTGCAATATGTACTTGCTCTACACTTGCACAAATGAAGAAAAATATCGTACAGTTTCGACAGTCAGTTATGTATTTTGTTATTCGCTAAGAAATTACAATTTCACGAAAACATAGAAACATGATGTAAGTACAAGTAAAGCAAAACGTTTCTAAATATGGTTTTTCACTTGTCATATTACTTTTGTGAATATAATTGAAAATGAAATAAAATTGTAAACAATAGAATATATCTCTGCAAGGAATTGGTACTTAGCGTATTGCATATTCGATGCTCGTAATTTTCTTCGTATTTTTTTTTTGTATAGATTACATAAGACTTGCAGCCCATAACCGTAGGATATGTTTGCAATCGTGGTGAAAGTCTTTGCCAATCGGAGTAAATCGGAATAAAAAACACTTCATGTGAACGACAAAAACAAAAAAAACAGTCACCCTATTTGTTGCCTTTAGCAGGTCTTCGCGGGTGCAGCTGTTTGGACACAGTGGGCATGAGAGCAAGTGAGACTTTGTGTAGGAAATCCACAAGGGAAATTGTTTTGAATCGAGTTGATATAGGTATCCCCATTTCACCCTCCTGCAGCTTGATTTTGAATGCCTCTCCCGATCGGAAACTGCGTCTTTTCCGTAGCCCATCTGCAATATTATACGCCTCGACTTAACTTGTGACCTAAAACCAAGCCAGACGTACTGAGAATATTTATAGCTACGTCTTTGGGTGCTCCTTTCGTGCAAAGAGTTCTTCATAATAAACTTTTAGGCTCAATTTATATTGCGGCGGAACGGAATGGAAGCAAATTTTTTTAACGTTATTACACATAGTGTAATTAATTTTATGGTTACTTGTGTAACGTACAAACTAGATAGCCAAAAATCACGTCACGCGTCTTCCGCGGAATTGCTTGAGAATGCCCGCGCTTTCTCGAGGTGAATTTGACGCTTCTTTTCCATTCCGTTCCACTGCAATGCAAATTGAACCTTAAACTGGCACATAATTAAAGCAAAAAAAAAGATAAAGTCTTTTAAACTGTAAACAAAAAAAAGTAAGCAATGTATTCCGCGGCGTTGCTTCATTACATGTACAGTGAACAAGATTTTTTTGCAAATAAACTAGGAAATTTAAAATTGGCTTTCATTTATATACGAGCAGGCATAATTAAGTAATAATAATTTTGAAAAAAAAAATCTGGGCTGCTCTATACTCACAACCAAGCTTAATGCAAGAAAAAAACTTTAAAGCACGTTTAAGTTTCTTCACACTTGCGACATGTGTTGAAGTAAATAAAAATCCGCATAATAACTGTTAACGTGTAACGCCATCAAGCGGCAGCGCGATCAAACTCGGACCACGGCGGGATGAGGCAGTGGCGCGAGGGGAAATCAAGGATCATCATTCGGCGACATATCGTGCTACAATACGCATTGTCATTTTTTTATAATTAATAAAAAAATCATCTCAGTTAAAAGTAATCAAAATAATTCATTGAAGAGTCCACTATAATACAAAAAAAAAGTAAATGAAGGAAAACGTGTCTGGCTGCCTACGAATAAACATCAACAAGGCTTATTGTAAATAAAGTAGCACTTTGGGAGAGCGGTTGCTTTACTGTCCACGCTGGAATAAGCTTATTACAGCGGTCAGTGGCGTAGCGTTAATTCCTGCCGCCCGGAGCCAACGTTAAGGTTGCTGCTCCCTCAATTTTCACGATTACAAAAGTAATTAGATTAGGCAGGGTCGGCTTGATTGGGTTATTATGTTCGCCTGCCGTCGCGACCTTTGTGTTGTTCAGGATATCCTTTTCTCAAACAGTGGAGTTTATTTTCTAAAACAAATAATTTTGACTAGTTAGGGTCAGTCGTGCTCGTTGCCGCCCCCCTTATTGTGCCGCCCGGAGCCATGGCCCCTTCTATATCCCCCTTGCTACGCCACTGTCAATGGCACCACTCGTCAATCTCGAGAATCACAGCATCTAACTTAAATCTGATTTAATCGTTATGTCGTTTTGAAGTTCCAACGATGTAGAACGGAACGGAATAGAATGGAAGTGTCAATTTCGTCTCGCTTAGCGGGAAGGCGCGGGCTGTCACTGGAATGCTCGAGCATCGCGAGGCTGTATTATTTCGTCGACATTTGACGGCATACTCGCCTGCCTTCGCGCCATTCTCGCAGACTCGCCAAGCGTCGCCGACGACAGGTGCCGAATTCTCGCGAATGCGCGAGCATTCTGGAGTATGCGCGAGATTTCCGCGGAAGATGCGTGCTTTTGGCTCGTATCTAGTTTGTACGTCACACAATTGACCATAAAGTTCCTTACGCTATGTACAATATCGTACAATAAATTCGCTTTCATTCCGTTCCGCCGCAATATAAATTGAGCCTAAATCCTCTCATAAGATAATGGGTTGACGATGGTGAAATAAAAAATCCAAAAATATGTATAATACATAAATGTAATTAAAGATCTTGTTCTCGATATCCTCTATCGTCAAAATGTCACATACATTATTTACACCACATTTACACAAAACCAATCGCAAATTTGTAAAAATAATCTAAATAAATGTGCCGCTCCAAAACTCGCTGACATTTGATCAGTATTATACAAATAATATACAGTGTATATACAACAATACTGAGATTCGTAATTGTAGAATAAAGGCTTATTTTTTTTATAATTAGTATAGTTTATGAACTTAAACGGCAGGTTTAGCATGACAGGACTTCTCTTGCGCGAGAGGGACATAGAAGCGCGATATTGCTATTCTCTACGCGAGCAGTATCTCACTCGCGCAAATCTTTCTTTCGCCTCATGCATCCCAATTCCTGTAACGACCACCTTATAACCGGATTTTTTTATTAGAAATGAACTGTCGCCTACCATCACTTTAAAAAATAATGATGCCATGTTTATTGTATAGCGTGAATAATCTGTTCTCAGTGAACTCACTGAAATAGAATCAGTGAAAATGAAAGCTTAAAGATTTTTATTATCATTCTGCTAAACAGTATTTCGTTTACATTTAAACTGAGTGTTATAAAACGGAGTTTTTATTCGACTAAACAAAAATCGCCATTTAGCTCAGCATAAGTTTAAGCCATGGCTTCCCAAACTTTTTGGTTCACCGCCCACTTAGGCAAGGTAAAATTTCAAAGCTCATCACTACAAAAATTATTGAAAATACGTATATTTTATATTAACTTACACAAAAAAAAATCACACTGTAGGTAGTTTATATGAATTTGATATTATGCATGTGGGTAAACTGAATAAAGTACAGTTAGTCTTGACCCGGAACTGGTGTTTGATTGTCGCTCCCAACCAACAAGAACGTTGACATGGCGCAGTCGGAAATTGAACCATTGTAATAGTCATCATAACAAACGGATAAATACAGTGTTTGCATTCTGTAGTTAAAAATTGTGCCAGTGGTTTTGTAGACATTCAAATTACAAACGTTGGTTAAAAGTTGGTACCAAGATGGAAGCCGTATTGCCACCACCGCCGCCATTTAATTTTGTTAATAATTTGGAAAACGTCACTTCAGGAAACCTTTCTAAGGAATGGGAGAAGTGGAAGAATGCGTTTGTGGTTTATTATGAGGCGTGCGAGCTGTCGAAAAAAGACAGTAAAGTGCAAATTAATATATTGCTACATGTGATCGGTGAGCAATGTCGCGAGGTACATGATCAATTCGATACTAAAGCTACAAGTGTAACGGATTTGATAAAAAAATTTGACTCGTTTTTCTTGCCGCAAAAGAATATTACTATCGAACGACACAAGTTTTTTACCCGTAGTCAGAAGCACGGTGAATCAATTGAGCAATACGCATTCGAGTTAAAAAGATTAGCAAGTTCTTGTGAATTTAAAGAACTGATGGACGGTTTAATAAAAGATCGCCTGATATGCGGAATACAAGAGGATGCACTCAGGGAACGTTTGTTACGAGAACCGGATTTGACTCTAAAAAAATCATTGGAAATATGCAATTTAGCCCAAATATCTAGGTTGCAAGCGGGTGCAATTAAAAAAGAATATAGTGAACATCAAGCCTACGACATTACTATTAGTAATCATCATGATCAGTTTATTTTGCAAGACGAAGGTAGTGCGAACAAACAAGTGAACTGGGTATCAAGACGAGTACCGCGCTCGCGCGGCGCTTCGCGGCACGGCGGCCGCGGATGGGCGCAGCCCGCCCCGCGCCTCGCGCAGCCGCGTCCCAGCCCCGCCGTTGCTGCCACCGCTCCTGCGCACACCGCCTTCGCGTCGCGAAGCATGAGACAGCAAAAAGTGCCGTATAACGGAAATAAACCTGGAGTGCAGTGTTTTAAGTGCGGGTTTATTCATAGTGTTGACATGCGGTGTCCAGCATTAGGAAAAATGTGTTTAAATTGCAAGAACTTTGATCATTTCTCGCGAATGTGCAACGTTTATGATGTGCAAGCTGAGTGGCCCACCGATCAGGTAATTTATTGCTTTAATGGTTCACGTAGTGATTGGTCTATAGATTTAGCTTTTGGAATAAAATTAATCAAATTTAAATTAGATACTGGAGCCGATGTGAACGTTTTACCCAGAAAATATTTAAGCCAGGTCGGTGTAACTGAACAAGATTTGATTAAAACGTCTGTTAAATTAAAAGGGTATTCGGGTAGCGATATCAACGTTCTTGGCATGTGTCATTTGAAAGTGGAGTATAAACGAAATTTTTATATATTAGAATTTATAATAGCAGATGTATCTTCGCCACCGGTTTTGGGCCGCGATTCGTGTAGTGAGCTTAATGTAATTAAACTATTACTTAGTATTAGCAGTACGCAAAACTACGATTACATCTCTAATGAATACCACGACGTATTTGAAGGGTTAGGATGTATGCCCGGCGAATATAAAATAGAAATTGATACTAGCATTAGGCCGGTAGTACATGCTCCAAGGAAAATTCCTATAGCCTTAAAAGATAGCATAAAACAAAAGTTAGATGAAATGGTTAATGAGGGTATAATTGCAAAAGTTGAAGGCCCGACGGACTGGGTCAACAGCATGACTGTGGCTCGCAAGGCCAATGGTGAATTGAGGGTCTGTTTGGACCCGCGCGATCTAAATAAAGCTATTAGGAGAGAACATTTCAAGCTGCCAACCTTGGATGAAATAACTGTTAATCTATTAGGTTCTAAATACTATAGCACGATAGACGCGAAACAAGGGTTTTGGCAGCTACGTCTGCATAAAGAAAGCACAGATTTGTGTACATTTAATACAAGTTTTGGCCGGTATAAATTTTTACGTTTACCGTTCGGAATAACTTCCGCGTCAGAAGTTTTCCATAAAAAAATGTTTGAATATTTTGATGATATACCAGGGGTTTGCCTATTCATAGACGACTTGCTTGTTCATGGTAAAACGAAACAGGAGCATGATGATCGGCTTAAGAGAGTACTAGACAGATGCAGGGAAATAAATTTAAAATTAAATAAAAATAAATGTAAATTTGGATTACGGGAAATTAAGTACCTAGGTCACAAAATCAGTGCAAAAGGTTTATATCCGGACAGTTCACACACTTCCGCGATAAAAAACATGCCGCGACCTGAAAATATAAAGGATTTAGAGCGATTTTTAGGCATGATAAATTATGTAGGGAACTTCATATTAAATTTATCTGACAGAAATTTCGTATTAAGGGAATTGTTACGTAAAGATACTGAATGGCATTGGACAGAAACTCATCAGAAAGCGTTCGATGATTTAAAGGTATGTCTTACTAAAGCCCCGGTTTTGCAATTTTACGATTTAAGCAAGCCTGTGACCATATCTGTGGATGCTTGCAGGAATGGCTTAGGTTCCTGTCTCATGCAAAATAATTTACCAGTATGTTATGCCTCACGATCGCTTACGAAAGCTGAGCAAGCATATGCTCAAATAGAGAAAGAGCTCTTAGCAGTTGTTTACGCGTGTGAGAAATTTTATACGTATATCTATGGTAGAGGTGACATAACCATAGAAACGGACCACAAACCCCTGGTCAGTATCATTAGCAAGCCGATAGCTACTGCTCCAGCGAGATTACAGCGAATGCTGCTTCGTTTACAGCCGTATACTTTCAAGTTAGTTTATAAACCAGGGAAATATTTATTTATGGCTGATACGTTGTCCCGCGCTGTAGAACCGACGCGCGACTCACCTGAGGAGCCGCGCGATCAGTTGGATTCGCGTGCACAAGTCTGTGCCATCGCTGTGAGTAACCCGTTACTCGACACGCATTTCATAAAAATACAAAAAGAGACACAAAACGACACAGAATTGCAAATGTTGGCTAAATATGTTAAAGATGGGTGGCCAATGCACAAACACAAGGTGGATGTTCTGGTTAGGTCGTATTGGGGCTACCGCGATGAGTTATCGCTAGCGTACGGCATGTTGTGGAAAGGCGATAGAATAGTTATTCCTGTCACTATGCGAAACGAAATGTTAAGACGCGTACACATCGGACATTTAGGAGTAGACAAATGCAAATTGAGAATCCGAGAGAGTATGTTCTGGCCAAACATAAATGCGCAAGTAGAGGACTTCATAAGTAACTGTCAGGCATGCCTTACATTCAAAAATGAGAACAGAAAAGAAACTTTAATTCCTCACAGCGTACCAAACAGAGCGTGGTCGAAACTAGGTGTAGATATATTTCATTTCCATGGAAATAAATACTTAATTGTAGTAGATTATTACAGTAAATATGTCGAAGTTGCGCAATTAAGTTCATTAACGTCTGATCACGTTATCAACGAACTCAAAATTATTTTCAGTCGACACGGTATTCCCGATATAGTAATGTCTGACAATGGCCCAGAGTTCAGATCGAACAATTTCGATATTTTTTCTGCAGAGTGGACATTTCAACACATAACGTCATCGCCACACTACGCACAATCTAATGGCCAAGTTGAGAGGACGGTGCAGATTATTAAAAATTTGCTTAAGAAAACGCAACTGGAGAAAACCGAATTTAGAATAGCTTTACTTGAATATCTGAATACACCTATAAGTAACAAACTTGCTTCTCCTTCTGAACTTCTAAACAGTCGCAAACTAAGAGGTATCGTGCCGTACCCCCCCAGACTTCTTTTGCCTAAAATACAAAAGAATGTAAAACGAGAATTAGAAGCCCGTCAACAAAAGCAAAAGTATCAATACGATAAAGCCGCTCGTGATATGCCCGCTTTCCACCCCGGCCAAAATGTAAAAGTAAGAATAAACAAGCGTTGGGTGAGCGGAACTATAATGTCATTGCGCGGTACACGATCATATTTAGTACAAATCAGTGGCGGTGGAAGTCTAATTAGAAATAGGCGGCATATTATTAGAGATTCTGACCAACGTCCTACAATGCAAAACACTCCAGTGTACTCCCTGCCTTACGAAGATATCGTTACTCGCAGTGATAACCCGATTACGTCACGGAGCGGCGTTCAACGCGCAGCCGCCGCTTGTGCCGGGTTCGAATCCCGTGACACGACCGCGCGGGCCGATGAACCTAGTCGATCATCTACTAATGGTTATGTAACTCGCTCCGGCAGGGTGGTGATCGCGCCTGATCGGTGGGGATCGTGGGCTGTATGAATTGTTCGGACCTAGATGTGTACAAACTTATTTATATTCTAAGTAAGTATTTAGAACAGCTGTTGTTTAATCACGGCAAATTACATATACACAGGTTATTTCGGCTCTATGTTTGTACAAAAATAATTAATTAATTTTACAATCTATTTTTTTTTTATGATATGGAAGTAAGAATGGTCATTATGTATAATTAAAATTGTATTAGTGATAGATAATAAATACCTACAATTTGTTAAAACCCGACCATACTCATACAATTTCTTTAAAATTTATTATGTATTCTGCATTTTTACTATGCCTGAATGATTTCCTTGTTTATGTTTAAATGAATTTATATATACTTACTACGTTTTCATTCCAACTATAATTTTTTTGGTATTTTTTTGAATAAAGTTCTATTTAAATTTAAATTAAATAAAATTAAAAATATTTTAAATAAAATTTTATGGATTACTTGCTTTAATGTATTATGTATTTTTTGAATTTTCACATATTCTCATACTTCTTTTTTAATTATAAAAAGCATGCACAATTATGGGAATATGAAATGTTATATAAATTCTATTATGTTCTTAGTTTAATGAGCAATATATTTTTTTTTTAATAATTTTTGTAAAAAGGAGATTGTAGGTAGTTTATATGAATTTGATATTATGCATGTGGGTAAACTGAATAAAGTACAGTTAGTCTTGACCCGGAACTGGTGTTTGATTGTCGCTCCCAACCAACAAGAACGTTGACACACACGAAAAAAGGATATATATGTAGTGTATAATTCAGTTTTTTTCTCAAATGCGGTAACACCACCTGCACAGCATCAACGCCAAATTGCTTCCGAGCTCATTGGGTAGACACCACTTTCGGAAACTACGGTTTAAGCAAACAAATTACGAAGTAAACACGAAAAGTTCAATTTAATCTCTTGCCTTAAGCAAAGTTAATTTTAAATCCGAAAATCTTGCATGCCTCGCCATTTTGCTTAATTGGAAGTCAAACTTCGTTTTATAAATCCCAAATCTCAGTCTCTACATACTTCTATTATTTATGATATAAAGTGACGGGACGAACGCCTGGTAGTAAGCCACTCGCCTATCCAGTTGCAGCAGTTGCAGTGCCACTCAGAGCTTAAAATTGCAAAGATCTGAGAGGCACTGCCACTGTAATAACGCTGTTGTCCATCTAAGCTGTAGTAGCTAAGATCTAAGCGAACAACATTTTTTTTCTTTTGCTCGAAATAAAGATAACATTTTGAATATCACAAGCTCATAGCCACAATACTCGTTGCAACCTAGCACTACATAATTGACATGTAAGCATAGTTAATCGTTTGTCGGTTGTACTTAGCACAGACTAGTGCGACAGAACAAATATTAATTTGAACAAACTTAAATGTGTTCTATAATAATTAACTTCGGCAAATAAAACTGTACGAATATTACAAGTACAAAAAAAAATGGCTTCATTCTACAATTAGAAAATTATTTCATGTCAGATTGAAAATAAATTCTCTAGTTATAATTAAATCTGTTCTAACATTCAATATTGCTAGGCATTTCCGCCTTTATTGCATTCGAATAAAATATTACGACACAGACAAAGAATTTTCAAATGGAATACCGCTATTCTACACTTATCAGATTGTTATTGACATCTTTGTTGAAAATCACCACCAAATTTAATTCGGTAGAAATACGTTAAGGTACACAGTTGTAGATATTAGCGCCAAACATTCACGCTACAGGACGAACAAGTCGTGCGCCTAGTAGCAAGCGACATGCCTGTCCACAGCAGAGCCTGTAGTTTCACCAGCATCCCATACCCTCTAAGCAGTACTTCCCTGGGCGAGCTCTTCCGCAAGGAGCCCTACTGTTACTAAAAGTTTGTCATGGCAGTTGTCTCTAACGAGTGCGTAAAACATTTGTAAACAAGAGTGAAGAAACTTTCATAAGTTTCTCACAGATGGCGCTAACTGCAAAAAGCCCATACAAAGATCTGCAACAAGCACACAGACAAATTCGTAAGATCTGTTGACTTGATCTGTGTATAGCTTGAATGGTGGCCGCAGAGTGGCAAAAGGCTCTAGTTAGAGTCCAGTTAGTTCGAAGAATGTTTTCGACTCATCCGAAGAACAAAGTCCGATGTGATTATTAGCAAAGAGAGACTAAGTACGTTACGAGTATAATTTCGTTTTTCAAACTAAGGCCTATGTAAAGGTGTTTTGAAAATTTATACATCTTATTTCGTTTCGGTAATATAAAATCGAACAACGGTCGATCTAACATCCACAGCGAAGAACGAACGAAATGTACATGTTTGTTCTACTAATGAGTCGTTTTCATTGTGTTGTAAGATCTTTGTACGAGTATCAATAATAACAAACTAGTGGACTATTTTCACAAATATATACGAATATCTGGATATTCAATAAAATTATATTGTAAAAAAGACGTTTACGTGTGATCACTACGGGCGCTATACAATTTTCCGTATAAAATAATTAAATCGGTCATTCTCGAACTAATTACTGACGCAACTAATTTCCGTGGCAGATTTTATTATTTAAGTACATTATCGTGTGATTATTAAATAATATTTCACGACACAATACTCGATAAAAAATCAAATGCATAAACAATAAAACTGCCACGGACATTACACGGTATGTCAACGTATTTCTATCGTATAAAATCGGTTTTAATGAAAACGTACGAACTCTATAATGTCACTGTAAACTAATGGTAAAAGCACTAGTCTCAAACTAGGGGATTCCGTGTGCTATGAGCACCAGAATATCAAAGGGTTCTGTTACTCTGGAAGCACATAGATAACCAATTCTACCCTTCTTATAATAACTATCGCAATTGAAATTTTTAGCGAAATTGAATTACTAACATATCAGCGAACCGAGATCTAGTATAAGCGATTTTTTCATATGTTATTTAATTCCAGTTTTAAAGTTCATTAAAATCAGCGTAATTGACGTTTTTTTCTGTAGATGCTAATATTTTGAAAGTTACCAAAATGCTAATGCGTTACCATGGAAGAATAACTCAAGCGGACTGATAATCTCAATACTACAGATTGTGGCTCAGAAAAACGTGAAAATTCCACTCATATCTAGATGGATAGATATGAGTGGAAGTAGGAACCGAATTTAAACGGATTTAAACGGTCACTGTAAAGGACCTGAAACATTGGTTTGTTTGAAAAAACAAATATACGCGATTTAAATTCGGAAAAATAGTTTCATTTCCTATGTGTAACAATCGCCAAAACCTAAGAGCCTGGAAGTAGTTTACATTATAATAAATTCCTCTGAAATATGGAATATAAAAAGTTAATTTCTTTTTCCTTGTAACATTATTCAAATGTTGATCATGAGCTAAAAATTTTTAGATTAGTTTGTGTTACAAACTAATTTATAAATTAACGCTTCCTAATATGGATAGATGGCGGTAATACTAACAAAATAAAAGAATAGTCGGGGCACTATCCATAAAAATCTGTGCCAATCAACGCCATCTATTTGATTCGTTTGTTATCACTAGAAATTAGAGTAGCTTTGTAAAACAAATTAGTTACAAAGATAGCTATTAGTTACTCGTCGCGACATCCGGTACTCAATATCCCACCACGCTGTCTTTTAACGCGATTAGCAGACGTTTTCATCCATGGCGTTAGTTATGACAAGGAGGGCAGAACTGTAATATGAATAGAACTTCCTACATAGAACATCCATTTTTACAATTGCGGAATTGTTGTCTCTTTCCAGTTTTAACTAGTATAACAGATTATATGAGATGGAAGGTATGTTGGGATAGAGTAGCTGTTTTGGCTCTATGGTAAACTTTATACATGTCTAACATCGAGTATTTACATTGTCCCTATTTGAACCCAACTCATGTTCCGTGCCACCTACTTATCTGTGATGTGGCAATGGATTTAATGCTACCATGTTAAAAAAATGTCAAATATCAGTCAGTTACTAGCAACACTGGTAACACCGCCCATATCACAGAAAAGTTATTCGCAATGTGCTCATTTACACTGTTGAAATCAACAGACTAGATCAGCTTAGCCTACAGTAACAAAGTTCAATTATACAGGGTTATTTATAAAATAATAACAATCACACAGGATGTAACTAACAATAAATTTACCAAAAATATTTTTTTAAGTTTTGTTGTCCTGTCATATATGTCCCATATTTTATTAATAACTCTGTACATGTGTTTCTGCAAAACATTGCATTATCATTAATTATTTTACAAGCTTATGGTTGAATAATCATCACAAATCAAAATTAATATACATATTTTAACTGTCATTGTTATTCACCAAGGGATTATGGTAAGTACGGTTTTCTTACATATCCTCGTGGTTAACCAGTGACCATGGAAGCTGTTCGGAAATAGTGGGAAGCAGTGGCGACGCGTCCACATAACTCGATTCCCACCGGCTTGCCTTTTTAGGCAAAAGTTTTCTTTCAATACGTAATTTACTACATTATGGTACACAATTTAAGTGTGGAATAAGTTGATCAGTGAAATGAAGGGTACTATAATTATTATCCTGTGTGCTAATAAGGGTTTTGCTTAAATATCTCAAGGCGTCTTTTTAAGGACAAAAGAAGTTTTTGTTAAGATAGATGTTTTTGTTTTGGGCCAGCTTTACTAACGACTATTTTCACGCTCCGCCACTGCTGGGAAGAACAATAAAAAGTTACAGCGTCCTTAAAAATTGTAACTGGTGATAATGATTTATGCCACTATATATTATAAGTCTGACTGCAGCCGAAATAGACATTGTATTAAAAAAAGTTTGTGATTCCCGGCAAGCGATAGTAGATTACGAAAGACAACGCATACCGGAAATGTCTTAATAATCGATGACTCAGTTTCTGGAGATCATGAGAATTAAATATCTATTTACAGTCTATTTTTTTTTTGAAGACGGAGTAAAATGACATTTGGGTTGTCAGTTTTCATAAAATTTTAAATAGTCATGGAGATAATGAAGGAAGGTAGAGTTTTGCTAAACATGACGTTCTAATGATTACTACTTGTGTTAATGCCGCCTTTTTTCTTATTTTGACAGTTGGCCTACTAGTATCAAAATAAATGTTTATTCATATATATATATATATACATATATTTTTCACAAAGAGGATTTGATTATCTGTATTGAATTAAAATGAAAATCTTCAAAATATGTCTCCTCTTTGTATTTTTAATATACATAGTTCTAAATGCAATGTATGTATGTACGAACTTACAAACATTGATAGTTCAAATAACCAGAACCCGGCAGTTGGACGAATAAACGACCAATGATGATTCAACATAAAAATATCGGCTATTTATTACATAAGCGTGACCAAACTACTAGACTACATATGTCGAAACAGCAATTACAAGTTTCTAAAAACCTTGCAAATTTATTAATCATTTCATGGACAATAACAGACATGGACATATACCGTAGAATTAAATATTAGAATATGTCACACGGGGTACCCCGTTAGCTACATGGATCTCAAAAAACTAAATATAGGTTTTTTCACAGAGAAATATCAACAAATTACTGACAAAATTCCAAGATTTACATGTATTGACTCAATATGAGCTGCCATGCTAATGATAAGAACAGTAAGTCTATACCAAACATACTTACTGTTAAGAGTCAATACTACGTAAGCGCGAATTCAAATTTTTCCCGTACTAATACGGTTTATTTTGCCTGTGTCGAGCGGCAGACACTGGCTGGTTACAAAAGAAATTAAAGCGGTAAAAATTAAATAATATATATCGTACAGTATACGCGTTCTATTTAGTGCAGTTGATATAAAAAAAAATTAATGGCATATGTAAAGTACTTATTGAATACAGCGGTTTTATTGTAAAATTTCGAGGTGAGTTTGTGCTTTTTTCCATTGTGAAAATTTTTAGGATCGTTTTTTCACACTTTGTTCTAATCAGTGTTACGCAGAATCAACGAAATTCATTTGAGGCTATACAACCTCAACTCTTAAAATCTATACTTAATATTGTAAGCACGGCAAGAAAATACAGACATATTTATGCACGGTACTATTTATACACTGCCCATGAAAGGGTTAGTAAACAATTTAACGATGTCTACTGTAATTTGCTTATAAAGATATTTTAAATTTTCAACACCTGAGGCTCAATTTACATTGCCGCGAAAGACGATAAAAACGAATTTCTGTAACGTAGTTCTACATAGCATAATACTCTTTATGTCAATTGTGTAACGTTAAAACTATATGAGACACGCTCTCGTGACTACGCGAAAAGTGCGTAAGGTGCGTGACCTGTTTTTTTGATACTCGCGTTTATTCCCGTTCTCCATCCGACCAACTTAAAAACGAATGATGCAAATTAATATTATTACTTATTTGACAGTAATTGTTTCGGACCCCCTAGTTTGTACGTAACACAATTGATACAAAGTTGATTATGCTATTACTACAAAAGTTGACTTCCATTCAAGGCAATGTAAATTGTGCCTAAGGCATAAAACACGTGAAATTTCGCTTTGACTGTGAAATATCCATAGTTTTTAAAACAGTTTATGATATACCATCTCCAGAACTGAGAAATGAAAGGTAAAACCGGAATTAGGTCACAAACTCTGGACGCAACGATTTAGAAAAATCAGTCAATACAGCTTCTCTTTTCCTCAAACACGTAACAATAAATAACCAAAAATATTAATAACGCTTCACGTCATTTCACTTCACGCACTCAACTAGCGTTTGTACTAGCGTCCACACATCACTTATGTACAACTGTACAAGTCTTGCAAGCACCGTGTTAACACTTATGACGCCCGTCTCTTTAATGTCACTTTGCCGCGCGCTAATTGCGACACGTATATCCGTACCTTCTCGAGATTCGTCTTTTTCACCCATATCTGAAACAATATATTATACAACATCACATAGGTTGCTCTGATCCCAAAGTAAGTAACTAAAGCAAATCGGAAACAATGACGGTACCACAAACACCCAGAACCGAGAAAACATAGAAAAGTTTCTTACAATTTCGTATTCTACAATGACTCGGCCGGAGATCGAAACCAGGACCTCAGATATGGCGGCACCATGAAAATCGGTGTGCAAGCCACTCGACCACGAAGGTTGTCAACAATACTTATATAATACTAGCCGTATCAGCCCCCGTAGTATGTAGCCGCGATAAAAATGATTATGTCCACATTTAGCTGTCATATTCTGATGATAAAGTCGTCATTTTGAGCAATGGCCACGAAAGTATATCGCAGTGCCAAATATCGCAGCAAGGTCGCAGCTGATTTTAAAACATTGTGACAGTTCTGCACGGTAATATAAAAATATATAAGAAATAATAAAAAGAAACAGGTTATTATACATTAGTTATTGGAAAAAGGTGAGGAGAACATTTTTAATATTGTTCTATACATGAGAGTAATTTTAAGTACGTAAATAACAAGTAATGTAATGTAAAATTGTCTAGTGGGTATTCTATATTACGTTTCAGCGAAAATATCGAGAGAATTAGAAGAACGAGTTCTTAGAAAATTATTATTGGTTTTTCTCCAACATATTTCACAAAGATTTTATTGTAGTGTGGTTAATGAAAGCGTTTGTAAATTTTCCGTCCACTTTATTATTTATTTATTGATAATTGGCTATAGAGTCATCAGCTTCAACAGTTAACAAATAATTTAGAAACTCAAAATGAAATAATGCTTAAACTAAAAATTTAATTTATGTAAAATCTGTAACTGCTAACCCGCCATTTTTTGTGTCATCGTTTTACAACGATGCAATTAATAGGGTTACAATTTTCGCGGCGATGATTAAACCGAGAGCTAAATACGCAATTTCATATCGTTATCCTTGTTCTTCAAAATATGTAACAATAGTTTATTATCAAGTAAACATAACGAATAACGTTAACATAACAAACTGACAATAAAAGAACAAAATTTTAATAATGGCAACACAGCTTTATCAACTGCGATAAATATATCACGGGGAGGTTTATCATATATCGCATGCGATATAACGCCCTGCTACGGCTGCTGGTCTTTTCGGCTACACATGCTATTATTTTAAATAAAATGGTCCTCAACCAGTAAGCTTGAATGTGAAACTAGCATAAAAAATGCAATTATACAGGTTATGACGATTGTCCAAATTCTGAATTTCGACCTATGACCTGAGATATTGAGGTCAAAGTTCACCATATTGTCTATGGGAAAAATATTAAATTGTAAAACTTATTATATAAAAAACCCCTGATACACACAGAAATGTCGGATACCGCAGTTAGTGAGGAAAGTGAGATATTTGATAAGATAAAGTTGATGATGAACGCTGTTTTGCAACACTTACAATATCATCGGTTATCGCGTGTATTTGTCCCGCGTACTTCTGCATCTCGCGTCCCTCGACGTAGACGCTCTGTCCGCGGTGGAACCACCGTCTCTCGTACAACAACTTGCCATCTTCCACTCGCGTGTCCGTCGTCTCGTTGCTTTCTCGAACTGGCGAATCACCTGAACAACAATTGGTTTTTTATTAAGCAAGTTAAAGGTGTGTTCTGAAAATGTCTTAATTTGAAAATAGTTTCAAAGCGATCAACATGATGGTGTTTATTATCCCTATTTGCGGTACAATTCTTCTATTGTTCTTCAAAGTAAATAATTTGAATACAAATATTAATTTCTCAAATCTTTGTCCGCGTTAACTGATGTATCTGATTTTTGTCATATACATCGGGAAAACTCGAAAACGTTATTGCCGCGTCTATATGTTCTCTTCTTTTATTGGCCGTGTCTTTTTAAGATTTCCCATTCATATGATTGAACACATTAAATACTGACTGTCCTGATATTCAATGTTTATTCACTACATGTGTAAGATGAACGATACTACCTAGGTTTAAAAATAAACATTCGCCACTAATCATATGTCTACCATTTTTATAATGTGAATCATATTTTAATAAAACAAGTAAGATAACTCCATACAAAAGTAGCAGCGCGGTTTGTATGTATGCACGTTACCATACATATTACTATAACTCTTTGGTAAAAGCTGTTTAACATGAGCTGTGATACATTGCCCTAAAAATTTGTCTCAATATAATGTAAGGAGTCTAGAAAATTGTAATATCTATCAGTGTTTCATTTGGATTTTAATTTTTTTTTTTATTTATCAATTATAGCAAAGTAATTGTACTAAACTACTTACAACTGTTAGAGTTAAGATGTTTCCTAGGCTGCTGCGAGTTATGTGAGGAATGGTGCCTCGAGGGCGCAGGCGAATGCCTTGTAATAGCTCTTAAATCTGCTTCGATCTCCCTGTCGTCCAGCTGGAAGGTAAGTGTGGTGGCGAGGGGTTTCCGCCGCTTCTCTGGCGCGGGCGCAGGTTCGTTTGCGCGCCGCCGCAGAATGCGCTTCATTACTGGTTTCACCTGATAAATTGTTTATGAATTAAAATTACATGGTTACCTATTAGGTATATAGTACGAGAATAAAGCCTTATTTCAAGGAGGTCGAAGTTAGCACGATTTCTTTTAGTAGCAGTAGAGCTCCTATTTCTGTAAGGGTGCTGGTGAAATTACAGGCACATGGGACTTGTCAACTTATGCCTCAGGGTGACATTCGTTGTTCGTTTAGTCACATGGTATAAAGAAAACTTAACGAAACAGGATCGCATTAAGCCGGACAGAAAAAAACTCTATGAAATAAGAGCGAAAAAGACGTGCATTTCGCGTCGGCTGTCCGAGCTTCTTCATTGCATCATTTTCTCAATAGTGTATGTTATACATGTACAGTTGATTTCATACCAAGCTTTGGAAGTATGGAAGTTGTAAACATGATAATACACAAGCAATAGTTACCTCCATAGAATCCCCATTAAGCTCCATACTATGCCTCTCATTCTCAATCATCTTCCGCTTCTCTTCAAAGTCACTAAGCAAGTTCTCTCGCAGTTCTATCTTCTTCTCTTCGAACTCCTTCGCCGCCGCCTTTCGCTCCGCTATGTACTCTCTTTCTACTACATCATACATGTGGTCTCTGCAAAAAAGAAATATATTACTATCAAATCTGTCTCTTATTGATTCAGACGACCAATCTTGGTTTCCTAATAAATATATATTAACAAGTGGGTTTAAGATTGAGAAAAAAATATGGAAATAAACTAATTTGCTACTCTGCGAACCCAGTGAAGGTTAAATCGTGCTATGTTGAATGTTTTTTCATGTACTTAATTTTCCAACTCTCCATCCGCAACAATATATAAAAAAAATAACACAAGCACAACTAGAGTTACAGACACCACTACCTAAAATATACTCTACACGTGTTTCACTACTCTACGCGGCATCCTCAGGGGTTGTTTATTCGATGACGTTGGACACTCAGCTGAAGAATCGAGAATTTAGTACCTAGGTTTCTATCATTTATTACATGTGGCAACATTTACTGGTAAAATTAAATAATAACACCAACACTCTTAAGTCTAAACATAATGTCTCTTACAGGAAGAACTCACTTGTATATCCTATTAAGCTTTAGCCGTTCATGCAGCTGGTGTTCTAGCCTCTTGACCCTGCGCAGGAACTCTGGGTGGACTCCATCTTCCAATTGCTGCAATTGCTTCTTTAGGCTGGCTAACTTGTCTTGGTACATTCTGAAGTTGAGAATTTACCGAAAAAAAAAAAAAGATAAGCAGGGAACATTTGAGAAGTTGACATATACCTATATGTAATATAATAAAAATAAATAAAAATAATTAAAATAAAAGTTTAGAAACATAACAAAAATGTGATTGTCCATTATAAGGAGTTATGTTTTGATATGGTTGTTTTCTTGGATAAATGACTTCAGTGACCCAGTGGGTAGCAATGTGAAAAAATGTTTAGTAAGATCAATTTGCTGTTCAAACTTTTTTTATGTTCTGGGTTGCTAACAGTACATGAAATTCCATAGCTTGAAACTAGGTAATTGATGTTGTTGATTGGCATTTTTGTTATTTTCATCCGTTTGAAAGTATGCTGGCAGTGGTAAAAATGGAATTAAATGATTTACAACCATTTTAATGTTGTATACTCAGTGTTATTATTGTTATGCTAAACTTATTTAGGACTTGTACAGACCTTCACCACTGTGACTAGAAGTGAATCTCAGGACCAAGGTCAACAGAATTTAAAACTGTGAACTGTATTAAGTTTGAAATAGGTATTACTTTCTTATATCTTGGTTTGTCATAGGACAATCTCACAAACCCGTAGAAGTGTTACTATCTGGGAAACACGGAGGTATTTATTATTCCAAGTACTTTTATTAATATATAGTGGAAAAAAAACTAACTGTTCTTTAATTTCCAAAGGTTCATCATTGTGTGGTATGTCTGTCTCACTGGCTTCTTCTGTATCTGTAAAGCAATTAAGCATTCTTTAATTTCACAATTTTTTCAAAACAAATCAAAATGTTTTATCGCATACATGTTGTTACTTTTGTTGGTGCTGTTGGTGTTGGTTATCACCCCATTTAAATGAGTCAGTACAGATCAAACGAAGATTGTCATTAACAAATAACATTAAGTAATAAGTAGTCTTAAGATTTCAATTTAATTTTAAAACAGTTCGTAAAGTTATTTTAAATGTCCTCATTTCTTAATAATTTGTCCTTTAATTCTTTTCAAATTAACTATTTGTTCAGTATGAATACATCAACACACAAAGAATTCAAAATGTATACATATAAAAATTATACAAAGAAAAATAATGTACAGGCCATAGGAGTGATTTGATAACTGAATGAACTAATTGTAACAAGCTGATTGGTAAAAGGAATTTATTGTTTTTGTGAAAGTGACACAAATGTATATCATTACGTCACTGGCATGCAGCAAATAGGCGGGAAGACTCTCCTGCATACATCTTATCAGTTCTGACCTTGGAAATATTGCATAACCTCTGTTTACATATTGCACACTCACAGGGCATCAGGAACGTACGCTAGAGGCCAGATTACGCGACAGATGACGCGAAAATCAGCCGTGACGAGTGGCGTAAACAAAACATACCTTCATCACTATCGTCCAACGGGGGCACTGGCAAAGTGTCTTCTTGATCTCTGTACTCGTCCAAGTCGTCGTAACCGTCGTCCTCGAAGTCATATTCGTCTCCCGGGCCCGAATATGGAGATCCTTGGTAAGACATAGTCGAGGCAGCGCGTAGCAGTTGCATACAGAAAGACTACAATCACCGTCTCAGACGCAAACTCTGGACACGCGAACTTTAGCTAATAACACAAGCAATATGTAACAAGTGCCTGTTATGTCACTTATAAAATGAATTTCTAAGTATTATTCCATTTCGATGAAACAACTAAATTGGAGCAAATTGAAGCTGTTTTACGTCAAACTGGACAAAAAGCATCATGTAGTCCGCCTAAAGTAGAATGTCCCGACTTCGACAGCTTTATAGTACATGATACTATTGACACAAGTATGTGTAAAAGAGAAAACCGATAATTGATAATACAACCTGTAAGAATTTAGTTTGGTCGGATAATATTACCATAGACTAGTGATGTCTGCTCTAAATAAAGCTACCCATTCGCTAATGTCGGCAATGTGGTGTGGCCATTAGACGACTAGTGTTATACAGACTTTTTCGAATTAGAGAAAATAGAAGTCAATTTTAAATAATAATTCCAGCAAATATTTTATTGCACGTAGAAAGAAAACTAATGACTCAAAAATACCGGAATTTTCTTGGAGCTGCATGTAGTTGATTGAAACATACTTCCTGAACTATCAAACCCTAGTTCAAAAAACCGTAAAGGCGTCAGGTTCTAAAGCTTCTCTTGTCTATTGTTATGATGATTTGACGTCATGAAATGCGGACGTCATCTTGAATGAAAAATTCTTATTTTACTATTTATTTTGCTAAATTAAACACGTTACGCGACGCTGTGTAGTGTTTTCAATAGTTTAACGAGTAAATAATTCAACCTTGATGTATGTTTAGATCGATAACTGTGTCGTCCGGAGTGTAGTGGAAGTGACGCTCGGCGCTATTGTGTCGGTGATGTAATTTGGGTGATTGGGTGGTTTCCTAGTCCTAGCCACTACAATGGAAGAATCCTCATTTACGATCCCTGCCGACGACAATGGCGATACTGAGCTCGATCCTAGAATACAGGTCAGTGAGTGACATTATAATGTACTGAGTAACTGTAATCGTATTTCTTTGTAACAGCAAAGATGAGTGTCAACTTTGTAGATTATTTCGCCAACGAGCACAATGGATACGATATTTTATATCAAAACATGAAATACGGATTGATAGCGAGCAAAGAGCTCTCGGAGTACCTAAGAGAGAGGTCCAATATAGAGGAATCTAACTCGAAATTACTAGCCAAACTAGCGAAACAGGCTAACGGGAACTGCGCGCAGGGCACCTTCGCGCCTTTCTGGGGCGTGTTGAAGTGTTCCGCCGAAAAATTGTCCAATTTACACCAGCATATGTTCCAGAAAGTCAGTGAACTGGTGAAAGATGTTGCCCGGTATGCTGATGATTTGCACAAAAAACACAAAGCTGTAAAAGACTCTGAATCTAGCACTTTAGAGGTGGTAATTGTTATACAAAACACGAAACAGGCATTACAGAAGGCCACTGATGTGTACACAAGTAAATGTGCAGAACTGGAAAAGCTACGCAAAGACAATGCTTCAAGTAAAGATATAGAGAAAGCTGAAGCCAAACTGAAGAAGTTGCATGAGGACCACAGACTGTTATTAGAAAAATACAATCTTGTAAAACAAGACTTTGAGAAAAAGATGACCCAGACTTGCAAACACTTCCAAGATGTGGAGGAGGCACACTTGAAACAGATGAAACAGTTTGTCAACACTTACACAGATATTATTCAGAACAATCATGATCTTATGGGACAGGTGCACAGAGATTTCAAGCACCAATGTCTTGAGCTGACAGTTGAGAAACTGCTAGAGCAGTTTCTGATGGAGAAATACACAGCAATGGAGAAAGCAAACCTTGTTGAACTGCCGTCTTTACCTAAACCTAGTTCAGCAAACAACTCAATATCAGAAGCTGATCAAATTTCAACAGTTTCAAATGGCTCTCATAAGCCAGCACAACCGGCTAAAACAGCTAAGAAAGAGCAGTCATTTGCAAGTAAAACATTAAGATCAACCAGGACAACTTCACTTTTGAATCTATTTACACCAAATTTCCAAAGCAAAGATGAGCCAAGCGGTAGTGTTGATGGTCCAGCACCTTGCTCTGCACCTTCAAGTCCAAGTGGTACACCAGCAACACCAGTAGCTCCAGACAAAGATGATAATATGAACAGAACTACTCTACGAGAATCAAAGTGGTTCATGAGGAGCAGAAGAACTAAATCTAAACCAAAAAAATCCAAAAAGAAAAAGGATGAAATATCAGAAAACTCAAATCCTGGTGAAAAGTCTGATTTGGAAGAGAAAGAGGAAGAAGCCCCAGTTAAAGAGGACATGAATTCTCCTGAGGTGGATGAAGAAGGTTATTGCATCAGACCTAAAGATGAGAAAGGTAGTGCATACTCAACATCTGACTCCGAATCTGAGGAGGAAAGGGAACAAAAAATTCATGTAGAGATCAAACCCCTGAGTAATGGCAATGCCCCAATGTCAGCAAGTGTAGATGAGCTAAGGGCAACTGTGGAAAACATCTCCCTGTACAAAATAGGGACCAATAGACGAGGTTCCAATACCAACGCGAGCAAAGCTAGTAATGATCTATTAGATCTGAATTTCTTTGCAAGTCCATCTGCTAGCAACCCCACTTCGCCACACGGCAATGTCTCGAATCCGTATGCTCCATTACAAGCAAACCAATCACATTTACTTGAAAGTCCTACTCCCGTATCTACTGCCGATGTAGGTGATCTATTTTCTGAAGTAGGTGAGATGAGCCAATCAAATGTACGTACATCGACACCTACAATTTCGTCCATTTCGCTACCGCGACCGCCGTCACGACGCTCCGAAGGAGATTTCCGTACAGCAGGTTCTTCAGGGTCACGAGGACCTTCTCCCCTTACCATAGGGATGGCTGACACCATACCTTTAGCAGTGGCTTTTCACGAGATCATACACTCGTATTTCCGCGGCACTGAAGAATCAAAATGCCAAGTAAAGATGTCGGGCGACATGATGGTTTCCTTCCCTACTGGCATAGTAGGCGTTCTCGCGAACAATCCTAACCCCGCAAAACTCTGTTTCAGACTGAAAAACATTCACAGGTTAGACAATATTCTACCCAATAAACAGTTGATTAGCTTCAACACGATGTTGTCAACTCGCGATGTCACCGTCGTGGATTTCAATATGCCAGCGCTCACATCCCTTCTAAAGAGACAATCAGAGAAGAATCCCACAGCTCAATATTTCAATGTTGACATATTAAAATACCAGATAAGACCAAAACCTGGCGCCGGGTCGTGCCCCTACCAATTGGTTGCTTACTGGAAATGTGAGAAAGATCACACTGATTTGAAGGTGGATTATAAGTACAATCTTCACGCTATGAGTCCATCATCGCCGTTGCTCAATGTGTCCGTCTGCGTGCCTGTTAGTGGAGGCGTTAAGAATGTTATAGCGATGCCTAAAAATACATGGAATACTGAAAATGAACAGGCTTTGTGGAGATTTACAGAACTGTCTCAGCATTCAGAGGATAGGGGTGTGGGATCGTTGCGGGCGCGTTTTGAGTTGGAGAGCGGACCGTCGGACAAGGCTACGCTCTCTGCTCAATTTAATTGCGAAGGGGCAACTTTGTCAGGCATCGAATTCGAGTTGATTGGAAGCGGCTATCGTCTCTCGTTGGTAAAACGCCGCTTCGTTTCCGGCAAATATATTTGTGATAGTGAAATGCACTGATTGGTCCAAACCCTTATGAATCACATTTCTGTAGTTAACACGTGTGTACGAGACATTGGATTTGTATAATATAGCTATGATTGAGGTGTATATGTTTGGTACCTTATAGGACTGTTTCCTGTCCACAAAATTATGTTACATTTTATATCACAATCTAAGTTTTGTCAATTTTAATGTTTAGTTAGTTAGTTGTTTACCTGGACACAAATTAGTACTTGATTCCCTGTTAGAGGCATGTTATCTGTGTGTACTAATCTATATAGATGTTTGACAAAGTTAATATTTTAACATATGTTTTAGTTTCAAGTTTCAACCATTGCCTGATAACTTTTCTTTTTATTCCATAATGTGACTTTGTCAAACTATCATTTTAATTTAGCATTTCTAAACCAATGATAACTCAATTTTCCACAGATGAGATGCGTCTGATCTTTCAAGCACTAATTACGGCGATTTTTTTATTATAATAATGATTACTCACTGATATACTAACTTATTTTCATAATATAAATTATGTGCCATTTATACAATATTTAACCAAGTTATAATTACATTTTCATACAGGATCATTCTTTCATTTAAATTGTATAATCTCAGTTTTTTATTGTGACATAATCACAATGATTAAATTTTAGTTTGAATGTAATAATTTTATCATACGAGATGTAAACCCCTTTAGCAAAGAACTTTTTGCTAAAGTCAAGTTTGTAGTTATTTTTCAGTTATCATACCCTTTGGGGTCACACTGATATCCTCCACATCATTGCGTTCATTAACATATTAATTCATAATGTTATTATTGTATGAAATTCCTGAGAGTCACTATTATAATGCAAATGTTTCTTTAGCGACATATCCATAAGGTGTACAACAAAGGGAAAGCTTAAACATCTTTTGTAATTGTACCGCTACTTATCTTTTGTTGTTGACTTTGATAATCACCCAGTCATACAAAATGTCCTCTTTAGCCCTAATGGATGTAACTTACTTTTTTTATAACAAGTAGTTATTTCCAAAATTCAATTGAAAATGACATTAGGGTTGCGACATTTCCCTCGAGGAAGGAAAAGATACATTGAAAATACTGATACATATAAAAATTCATAACAAAAGAAACGACGATAAAATAAATCTAATAAAATTGATATTTATTGTTACATCTTTTCATAAATACCTTTTATTAATGCAAAGTTATCATGTATACTTTAGTTTAGACGATAATAGAATTTGCAAGTTGATTGCAGACACTTGAACAATGAGTAAAATTTTATGCACAATCAATAACACTGCAGCCCTTTGTAAAAACTTAACTACAAAACTTGAAAGGGATAATTGCCGCCAGCATGAAAACATGCAAAGTTCCTTTTGTATATAAACAAGCCTAGTTTCAAGTACAAATTATATTCGTAAATATGTTATGTTATTTTCCATTTGTGTCCTACATAAGTCTGGAGCTTGTATAATTCAAAATTTTACCTCAAATACACCCACTTTGCCAATAGGAGCACTTCATATGAATTGCTTATCAGTATGCTACAATTGAATGGAAATATTTTCTATGTCTACATTATCTAAGTCCTTTATCATTGTTCAGTAAAAAATATGCGAATTATACTAAAGAATGCACAAAGAAAGGCCAGGTATTTGCTGAACAGTGCAATTATTTTCGTTATGTTTTTTCATAGAAATATTGGCATTATAAATGTGACACAAAGCCGTCTGATGTAAATTTTTTTGGCCTAAGGGGTAGCAATAATATGTACCAACAATGGCCGTAAAATATACAATATTATCGTCTTATTTCTTATGATTAGTACCAATTTGATTGGATTCATTAGACATTAATTGAATCTCTTGAAATTGAATATTTTGTTTTAAATTATATCTCACCAATATGCACTAACTTTGTAAACATTATTTGGGATTGAATCAAGAGTACTTACAAGGTGTCCTGTAAAAAGGAGATCATTTAGGGGGACCATATATTTCTTTTCACATCACAAATAATTTGTTTCTTAAATTGAAATTTTGTAAAATGACTTTGGCATTTTCCAAAAATTTTTAAAACAAGTTATTGTTGATACAAAGATGGAATGTGGCCACATTGCGGTGACATGAGCTGATTCAAGTCCAGTCGGATCGAAAAAAAATTCTTTATGTTTGTTCAATCTCTGTGTTAATAATAATAACAAACTAATGAACTATTTTCTTAAAAAAAAAGTTAAATACCATTACAGTAAAAGAATCATGATATTCAATAAAATTAATATAATATAAATTATTACATTTCACCCCCTTGAATATAAACTATTTACAGAACACCCTGTATATTTTTGACAGGTAGACCTTTAAATGTGCCCTCTTGAATATTGTTAAGGTTGGTCTCATAATGGTAGATGTGTTATATAAATTAATTACTCATTATTAATATTAGTCGGCATTTAGTTATCAACCACCGAAAATAATTTCAATCTTTTTATATTAAGTTTTCATAATCTCATATTTATATGTGTAAACATATACCTTAGTGAGATAACGTTATATATTTCCTTTAAAGCCTCGGCCTAATAAATTACTATCTATTGTAATGTACTTTACCAAAAGTGAAGTGTTCAGTTAATAATTTTAGATAAAACTGTATGCTATAGTACAGTCAAAGAACCATTCCATTTTGTTCTTTATTACGGCGGGTTTTCCTTTGCACCTCTGGAATGTACAGTCATGTGCATCGCAAACAATGTGCAACCTTTTTGCACACATGTACGTCCATGTTTAATGGGTGGTTATAGTATATATACATGTTAATGCTTGCTGCGGTACCACTGATGGAAAAATGGACTGTTCCATAGTAGAACAGTGGTAAATATTTATATTTTGTCAACACCAATAGCATCCAGAGGTTTATAGGAAATAAGCCTTTATTACCTAATAAGTAGTAAGTATTAATTATCCTCACACAGATTGGCTGTTCTAGAATCACACTTTTCGATTTATATCTCTGAATAAAAATATGTAATTCGAAATTGAAATTCGTAAGAGATTATAGAAAAAAGTTGAAAATGTGTAATTGCAAAAAAAAATATTTTTGTATTGTAAAATTTATTACCTAAATAAATTGTATAATTCTTATGTATACTGTAACTTCTATGATTAATTTGGAAATAAATTGTAATTTTAGCATTTTTCTATTGTAATTTTTCTTTACCGTTGTTTATAAGTTACCACAACAAGAGTGAAAGCTTAAGTAAGTAAAAATTAAGTTATTTAGCTTAGTTGCTTTTTAGTAGGGACAGGAAACGATCCTCATAGGTCCATTTTATTTAAATATTTATCTATTTATCCAATGAGTGAGTGTAAATTGTCAAAATACCTAATTAACAAATTCGTCTAAGTGTGTCTATTTGTAACGATATTTCTTGTTAATTTGTCACTTAACACAATATTGTTAAAGATGTTTCATGTTGTTTATTCATGAATCAGTACAGAGTACTAAAAAGCCGACCTCAAAAGTCATTCATCCCCTAGTTTGCCGCCCTTAGAGGTGGAGTATTTTCTTCAAATTTAAATGGGACCACTATTAAGGGAACCCTCTTCCTAATAAAAAAAGAATAACCAAAATCGGTTCACAAATCCCGGGAATTATCGCGTAACATACATCCAAAAAAAAACAGTCGAATTAACAACCTCCTCCTTTTTTGAAGTCGGTTAAAAATATTTATTTTAACAGTGAATTGGTAATGTACTTATGATACTGTCTCTATAATAGAAATGTACCCAACAAAATTAACCAAAAAATTCAACTAATTATCAGAAGTGTTTACCATCTTAAGTTTGTTTTACGTCCACTCCATGGATAAAGAGATAAACACGTCAATTCGATAATGTTCTAGATAAGCGATTGGAGCAGTTTAGTTCTAAGTCTGTAATAGGAATGTCTTCCAAGTTTCCAGTCTCTACTTGTGCCTTGCTCTTGCCTTATATATTTGAATATAAAGTGAAGGTACCATGCGATTGTTTGAAGTACTTTCTCAATTTCCAGGTTGAGTTGGAGAAACTCAATGCTGCTACTGATGAGATTAATAAGCTGGAATTGGAACTTGATGTAAGTTTACCGTTATATTTTTTACTATAGCTGTAAAATCCATTAACTGTAGGGTCAACGTGATGAACTATGACTTTTAGGCCTCACATTAAAGATGACTCATTGTTCGTACGTTTGTTAATTGAAAGAGCCGTGGAGAACGTAGTATATTATTTTTTCTATTGTAATTAATGGTAATATCAATACAATTTTAATTCAATAAATACATATTTTTTGAAACGTTATAGGTATAAATTAAAGGTTTTTAAAGATGTGCAAGGCTTGCTCTGCAATGCTCTGCAATCTGCAAGATAAATCACGGCTAAATTCGAAAAAATCGTAACCTCCATAAATGTGAACTGTTGAGTAGGCACAAAAAATAAAATTACTAGAAATAATTATATAATAATCTATGATTATACCATTATTTTATAACCAAAAGAAGGTCTACAATTTATATTATAAGCTTTAATTGC